GGGGGGGGGGGGGGGGGGGGGCCGCCGGGGGGCCCGCCACCGCCGCGCCTGTGGCTTGGCACGCAGGTGTTAAGCCAAGTTGGTCTTGGATGTTTTTGTCGTCAGTCAGCTGACAAAACTCTTTTAACGCAGAAATAGCGTTCTCCAAAGTAAAGCCAAAAAAGATCGCTTACCTGACAGCAGTCCTATGGGCGACAGTCAGCCCTCCAAATCGGTGTGCCCCACGCGCGACAGTGGCGCCGAGGCTGCCGGGGGTTGGCGAGCCCCAGAGCCGGCTGGCTGGCATGTTGGGCGCCCTGTGTCAAATCAGGTGGGTCCCCGTTCAAAACCGGCACACCAAAAATGACGCTGTGCATCAACCAATTGTATGTCACCGAGGGAGAATACGTATGTTTCCCACTTGTCTCTTCCCATTTTTGGTGCAACACGTGAGAGGGGAGGAAGGGGGAGATGGCACTAAGCTTCCATGACCAAGGCGGATTGTAGGAGCCAGGTAAAGCCCTGCTGGGTGTCTCTTGTCCAACCTGTTTTAAGGAATGGAGGTGCTTCCTCCTCACCCTGGTGTGCGAGGCGGCGGCATGACACACGGGAATGGCTATCGGCAAAATGCTGTTTCAGGAATACCCCATCTTCTTCTGTCTGCTGGAGTAAAGCTAGGAATTTGCGTCAGTTATCACAGAGAAACAAGAACCAAGTTCTCATCTTGGCCTTCACTTGCAAAAACAAATCAAAGTGCCTGTAACTGCAGATAGTTGTTGTTTTCGGTTTATTGCTATCCTTGGTTTGAGCCACTACGTGAGATCAGAAACAACAGAAATGAGCATCATGTTCACCCTTATAGTCTCCTGACCGAAGTGCAGTTGTTTTTTATCATCTTGAAGTTCCTTCTTCTCAAGCTTTCTATGCTAAGGCTTTTTTTTTTAATAGTTACTGTAGTTAGAAAAGACAGTCTTGTATGTAGCTATTAAGCTTTTTCTTTCATTTTTGCAAGCGCAGCTGTGCAAGTAATATACATTTGTCTTATTTCAAAATTACTTGCCTGTAGCATTGTTTTCAGAATAATTTTCACTGCTGCTTTGACAGTGTGAAGAACGCAGTGTTATATTCCGTGTCATCTTTCAGCTCTTCATTGTTGTCCACTGAAAAGTCTACATCTCCTGAAGACGCTTTTTGTGTAGTTCTCGGGGCAGTAGTAGCACTGTAAAAACAGGTCTGTGTTTCACAGTTTGTTTGGGATATGTATTTATTTGGCCAAAAACAATTGGTGGGAGGGGGTAGTGTATATGCCCTCTTTAAAATGCCACTGAAGGCTTGGGGTTTTTCTGATTCAAACCTATTATGCTGAAATAATTTCAGCAATGGATATTTTACAGTATTTCTGGTTGTGGTAATGAAGAACACGAATGCTGCTTTCTGTTTGTAGAAAAATTATCACAAGCCTTAAAATGAAAAGGGTGGCTGCAGTTTCTAGAACTTATCCTTCATGCCTTTATTTCTGTTATTAACTCTGCGTGTTTGTATTGATTTTCACATGCTTCAAACTTTGTAAGTACAAGAGCAGTGCCCTGCCATGGTGTTACTTCTGTGGATTAGAAGAGCAAGCTCTAAACAGAGTCTATGTGACAGTCAGCTCCTTTTAAACTCCCACCCAAGGTTTATCTAATGTCATGTAGACACATACATTAGGAGTAGATGAATCTCCGCCTAAAAGTACTAACTTCTTTCCTCTATAAAGGTCAGAGGATTCTGAGTCAGATGCAGACGTCTCTACCTTTGCCCAGGTGAATCACACCTAAGCACATGCTGTAAATTCTACCAAAAGTTAATTGCAACTAGGATGATTGATTCCTATATTGTGAATAATACTTGCTTTAATAAGTGAATGTTACCAGTGAATAATCTTTTAGTAGTACAGTGGACAAAACTCCTGTGAAGGATATGTTTCAGCTGACAGACAGTGTTTAAGCTTCTGCTGGCTACGTCAGTTGTCAGGAAACTTAAATTTGCTATGAAGGCCTCCATTTTCATATCTTAATATTCTTAACCACCTGCTAATTGAAAAAGTTTGAGCACTATTGCTTTATAGTCTGCCTTGAAGTTGGGGTGCACAGATGTGGTACATTTGTGGAAGAGAGAAATCTCCACTGAACCAGACAGAATAGGACAGAGAAGAGCAGGATCCAGGACTCGCATCTGGGAGTATCTTCTACTGTTCTAATGGACTTGAGAACACCTTAACTTCTCTGAGATCTCATATATAAGGTTTCTTCAGCTGGTCTAGCTGTCACAGTTAGGCCTGACTGGTTGAAAAGCAGTGGGCTTACAGTGGGCATGTTATTGCTGAGTTGAACTTGCAGAAAAATGTGTGTACCTAACTCTCACTGTGTGGTTAATAAGGCTCTTGCTGTGGTTCTGGTGCAAAGAAACATACTAGGTAAAATAGCCTAGGATGCTGAAACACAATCATGTTGTATACATAAAATTGTATTTTGCTAATAGTTAATATATTTGAAATGCTGACAATTCTTTGATAGCTGACAGTTCAATCTGAACAAAGGGAGGCTGTCTACATGTCTGCAGAGCATTTAGCAGATAAGATGTTGATGTAGTATTGAAAACTTTTCCCAGCTATAAATATTTTCTTTCCAGATATAATAAAGGAGCAAAATCGAGAGTTAAGAGGTACACAGAGGGCTATAACCAGAGATAGAGCGGCACTTGAAAAACAGGAAAAACAACTGGTAAGTAGAGCAGGGAACTTTATTTTACTCTTTAAAAACAAACACACACTCAATATAACAGAAAAATTGTGAAGTGCTAAAGATACAACTCTGTGTAATAACTGAACACTAAAAAAGTTATCTTCCCCTTTTTGACTTTTCAGTTATTGTGTCAGAAGAAATTTACTATCTAAAAGTGATTCTCAGCCTTTAACATAGGAAGAGCCTGAAACAATGTGTCTAGATTAAATAGCCACATTCACTTTTCCCTTCCATCCTTAGCATTCTCTATCCTTCAGAAGGTTTTTTCTAACAGGCTTGTAAATCAGTGGTCTGGTGGTGGAAAAACTAAAAGTGTCAGTGCTACCATATGTTACCATGACACTCCAGTGGGAGAGAGTACTTGAAAAACCATAGGGTATCATGAATACCCCATAGGATTGTTATTTTCATTCATACAGAACTTCCCTACAGCTAGCTAATAATAGTAAAACTATCTGCCTAAATTAAGATCTGTTTAAAACTTGGTGTGTGTGAGCTATCAAGTATTCAGTGAATGGATGCTGCACCTGTGTGGCAGTATAATTGGATAAATGGATGTGACAGATGGTGGGGTTTGATGCATGAAGACATGCTCAGACTGTGGGAAAAGCTATGTAAATCCAGCCACTGTTTCGGTAGCTGGTGGTGTTTCATGGCAGCAGGTTGCATGAATACCAAGACCTGGGAATAATAAACTAAAAGAGGTCAGAGAAATTGTTTCTGGAAGCCTTCAACGTGTTACATATAATAGGCTGCTCATAGATAAGGCATTTTTTTCAGTATGAAATATTCTGACTCTGGTAATAACCTTAATTTTCATGAATACTCAAGTAGAAGTTTTGGTTACTTACTACAGTAAATTGTTTCAGAAATGTTTGATTTCTGAGGAGAGGAAGAAAGGAGAAGTGTAATATGTCTTTGAAAAAGTAAAATTTGTTGTTAGGATGAGAGAATCAATGGATAATAAATATTAAGTTTCAGATCAGGTGAAAAAGGATCAAGGGCTCGTCCGTCGATCTCAGAACATTTTGTTATGTACTTTCTGAAGAAAGACTTTTTTTTTTTTCCCCCCTGAACTATGAGGTACTACTCTGAGAAAACCTAGTTATGTTAATTCTATGTGTAAAAATACCTTAAAGTGTGTAGACAGTTCTGTTTCAGTTCAGTAACCTCATATGACTATGAATTTTGATTATTTTTTTCCAGAACATAACTGACTTTAACAAGCTTGCCCCAGACCTCTCAAAAGCAAATAATGTATTGCAGCTCTTTACCCAAATTCTTCTTAATTAAGAATAAAATCATCTATATATAGGGTTTGATTTCTGCAGCTGGATTATCTGCAGTGATTTAGCAATGGCTGGTGTAGGTTTGTATTTTGCTTTGAAAATCAGGTTATAAATGCTACTTAGGAATTTCATCTCAGTGAAAAAAATCCCTATTTTCAAATGTTTGCTGTTAAGACTACGGTGCAAACTAGTCCCTCCTATGCTTTACAATACTTGGGGTATGAAAAAAGGAGATAGTATTCTGGGCATACTATAGAAATTTGTTTTTGTGGTCTCTGTGAGCTACTTACAAAGAGGACAGCTTTACATATATTTCTGGCCTCTAATGTTTGAACAGTCTCATGCTGCTTATTTGCTGATCTGTTCATTCTTGGATTAAAAATAGCACGTATGACACAACTTTTCAGAAATTATGGATTTACAGAGAAGATCTTGTGCCAGTGCCACCTCTATAGTAAACTTAACCATCATCTTTCCTGGTAGTAAAGCTAACGCAGTAGGTCAGTTTAGACTTGCCTTTAAACATGACTGTTTCGCTTGCATAGCCTGGTGACCAGTATTTACCTTCTCAGAGCAACGTATCTTCTTATAAGTGCAGTTTTCTGGACTACCAGTGCACATAAAGTGAAGCAACTGTATTCCTGTAGCAGGTATATTCTCCTGAAGAATCATAGGAGAAAGCTGGTCTTTAAAGGCTGCTTTTACTTAATGGTAAAAATCAAAATGTACAATTCGACATATACAAAGAACAAGATACTATGGTATACCCTCCTTAAAAAGGCTGAAAAGGAAAAATCAGTTGAAAAGTTTACATTACCAAGTCACAAATCAGAAGACATACTTTGAAAAATCCCAGCTGACAAGATTATTTGTGCCAAACTTTTTCCTGGTACCTCTGGGCTAAATAGCTTGCTATTTCTCCTTGAATTGATAGACTGGGATTTGGTGGTTCTTTTTTTTGTAAGCTAGAAGTGTCTTTCTTAAGGTTTAAGCACATGTTGTTGTAGACAAATTATACTACTTTTATTATGTGCTAAGTCCAGCTACATTATGTGGGCAAACAGCCTGTAATTATTGCTCATCTAATTTTATCTACTTCTTCCCCAGAAAGGTTATGAGATTCTCTTGAGGCTGAATAAGTGTTAAAAAGAACCTGTGAACTCCCTGTTTCTTCCACGGGCAATGTGGCTTGATTGCCCAGGAATGCAAGAAATCAAAGATTCTTAGAGTCATGACACTAATAGTTGGCTGGCCATAATAATTTATTCACTTTTTGGGGTTGTCTTTTGTTTTTGTTTTTTAGTGTTACTCCTTATCCAGATATGGAATTGAATGTGCCCATATAAGTGAATGTGATGTTATGCAGAATTTGAAGCCTTTTGGGAAGCTGTGTGCTACCATACTATAATTCAGTTTTGTTGTTGTTTTTCCTTCTGGTCAAATCATAACAGCATTGCATTTATTCTACTAAGTAGCCTTGGTAGAAGAGCAAGGAAGACTATTTATATAACTTTAAATGTCTTAAAATCAAGAGGATAGTTAACTTTTGGAATTTAATTACTAGTGTCGAGGCTTAATTATAGTCTTTGTTTGAATGAAAATTATGTAGAATTAATCTTATACCTTTTTTAACAGGAACTGGAAATAAAGAAAATGGCTAAGACTGGTAACAAAGAAGCCTGTAAAGTGCTAGCAAAACAGCTTGTACAGCTGCGGAAGCAGAAAAATCGAACGTATGCTGTTAGCTCTAAAGTCACGTCTATGTCGACTCAAACAAAGGTCATGAACTCTCAGATGAAGATGGCAGGAGCTATGTCAACTACAGCAAAAGTAAGGTGTTGTAAGACATTCTTTTATATATGCAGCATATGGTTGCAAAAGTTGAGGTGTGTTATTTTGCATAAGATAATTGAAAGGGTAAAATTGCTTGATACCCCAAATGGTGTTGAGGATACAGTAGGGAAATGTAATTTAATTCATAATATGAAATTTTTGTCTAGTCAGTCCAGCCAGTTAGCACCTAACTAAGCATATTTTCTTTGGCTAGACATCTGTTAAATGTTTGCATGACAAAAATAAACTCTAATGCCAGTGGAAGAACTCTTTTAGTACATTAAAAAAAATCCAAACCATGCCACTACAGTGTCTTGCCTGTATATCTTGTCACAAGCAGTTTTTATTGGGAAAAAGTAGGGCATGCTTTATCTAGAAATCAAGGCAGTGTGTCACAGTAGCTTTATGGCTTGGAGAAGAAATAGGTTATTGCTTTGGATCTTAAGTTCCTAAGGAAATCTAATCTGGAGTTCCCTGTCATTCTCGCTCTCTGTGCTCTAAGGAAACACTATTGCATTAAGTTTTCTCACAAATTTCATCTCATAAGAGAGTCTGAAAAATCTCAGTTATCCGAGTTAGTTGTGAACATTCCCCTATTTCCCTGAAGTGGTAAATAGGGAGTTTGCTTTTGGCAAGGAGGATTGTTCAGCTTGAGGTGTAGGAAACAGAATTAGCATGCATCATCATAGACAACTTGTGCTTTTATCACAGTCCCAGTGACATCCAGTTACTTGCCAGTTAAACACAGTAATGCAATGCAACTTAGTGTGGAAAGTAACTACTGCTAAGGCTTTGCTGTCAGCTGTCTTTCTGAAGCAGCCACTCAGTGATACAAAGTTGTGGCTCTGTAGCAAACTTTCTACCCTCCATGACTAACCCACAGAGGGAGGGCTTGTCTGACTGCACAACCGATCAAGTCAAACAGCTTATTTGGTATTCCTACAAGTGTTGAACGTGAACGAGTTGGTCTTGCTTTTTAATTATTACGTGGTTGAGTTGTTTTTATCTATGAGACGTCTTGGATTAAATTTCTCAAAACCAAAGTGTCACTAGACCAATTATGAAGGTTAAGTCAGTAGAAAAAACAAAAATATTAAAAAAATAAATTAACCAGCATCTAGAAAAGTGATGCTTTTTGAAACACAGCAGGTACTTCTATGGACTAGTTTGTGTAACATTATTGGAGAGGAAGGTGTTAAATTCTTTTGGTCACTTTTAAAGTGAGTATTTTACCTTATCAACACGGGAAGCTTATAAAAGAAAAGTATTCAGTCATTCATTTTGAAGCTTAAACTATTCTTAATCTCATACAACCATCAGTGAAAAATATATGGAATCAGTCACCTCAACAAGCAAGACAAATACATGAATGCGAAGCTTTCGAAGTATGTTCTATATGCTTTTTAGCATGTATGGCACTAATTTTGGACACAGTGAAGTCCGGTTAATAGTTACCTGTTTCTTTTAATCATGCATCTGACCTGTATTTTCTGAAGATATATAAACTCTGTATCAGTTTAGTGCAAATATTTCTGATGTCCATCTATAACTCTTGTAGAAGAATTCTAAAGAACAGACATCCCCTAAGTGTAGAGCAACTTTTTAAACTCAAATAATGTGACTATGAACACAGTCTTTGAAATTCAACTAATATTAGAAGCATAATACATTATCACTTTAAACTCAAACATGAAGGCAGAAGAGCTTCTATGAAGCCAGTAGTGGCTGTAGTAGCTTGATAGTGTCCCTTTTAATTAACCAACTCTTTTATCTTCTCAAAGATGGTTAGACTTTACATTTGAATTGCTCACGTCTATATTTAGGGTTTTGACGTCCCATGAGAGATACAGTAGCTTGCTTCTTAGGAAAGAAGAAAATATTAAATACTGGTGCCTGCAAAGGCAGTGCTGCATACTTGTAGTAAAACAGGTGAAGTTTATTACACTGTCACAGAAAGCTCTCTGCCCATCAGAAAGGTTCACCCTAAGCTAATATGTACTTGCTGAACACTTTGATGTTTGCTTTTCAGAGAAAAGTAATTTTTCCATTAAATTATACATAGAAACAATTGCAATTTAATGCCTGTCCTCTAGTGGTGGTTCAAATAAATGTTCCTTACTGAATAAAAAAACCTGCAGCCATTCACCTCTTTGAAGCATATAGCCTGCAAGTTAGGAAATACTGTCCCATCCTTTTCATTTAGATCAGGCAAATTTTTCCTAATATAAGGCCAGGAGAAGGGTTGTGGTGCAAGAAAGATGCATACATTTAAAAGCATATCTATTAGGGTAGTAGATAGCAATATTTCTTACTAGTTGCAGACTGTACTATTGATCTGTTGTGTATCTACAGTTCTCATGGGATGTAAAGAGACAAGGAAATTGAAATTTGGATTGAAAGTTGTTTTAGTAAAAAAGTCTTGTTCCTTCTTAGTGTATATATTGGCCTTTACTAATGTCTCATTGTATGATTAAAGGTTTTTTCAATATTAATAGACAATGCAAGCAGTTAATAAGAAAATGGACCCACAAAAGACACTACAAACTATGCAGAATTTCCAGAAGGAAAACATGAAGATGGAAATGACTGAAGAAATGAGTAAGTTCTGCACTGTGGGGAACAGCTAGCTGCAGCCCACAGTGCTCTTGAAGGGGCAGAACCAGTCTAGAAATACTGATGCTTGAGGTCTTATTTCTACAATTCATGAGATTGACAGCAAAAATGAAGAGTAAACAAAACAGTGCATGTTGAGCAGGGAGGCTGCCTTAGGCATGTTAGTAGCTCTAGATACATAAATCCATTTCTTCTCAACTTCATGCAAAAATCCCATTATACTTCTAGAAAGAACATACTGGAAGGGAAGGAGATTTGAGACCAGTTCAAAACCTTGCTGGCATAACTGGTAGAGGGACTTGAAAAATTGTCCCTTCTGTAGCTGATAGTTCTGCATGTGTTTTTTTTCTTCTAAGACTGGATGCTTCAAAATTTGAATTTAATTTAGAGATTATTGATCATCTCGGCTTTATGTACATGGTGCTATGGGATGTTTTTGTCTCCTTTTTTACTTTAATCCATGAACTTCTTGGGAGGGGGGTGGCAAGTTTCTTTTTCCTGATTGCATCTGTCCACTGTCAACTAAATAATACCAAACTTCCTGCTGTTGCTAGCACAGCCTCCTTCCTATCTAATCCCTGCCACTGTGTTGGCCGTAGTAAGTGGCACGGACTCAAAACAGTATTGTTGAGCAAGATGTGAACACCTCAACTGCGCAGAATTGTGTTGTTGAAATTCAGAAATTAGCTGAGTAATTAACAATTTTGCAACTTGTTTGGAAGAGGAAAGGGACTTTTACAGAACTGTAGAACATGTCTTTAAGAAATGTTAACATCTAGCAGGGGGCAAATAGAGCAACTGAACTATTGAGGTGAAATGAAACGTTTTTATAGAAGCAGTCATGTCTCATCCTGTTGTTGCTCTAGCTGTGCTCACAGGCTTTGCAAGGCAGAGGTAAGAAAGCCTCTCTGATATAGAGCTGCTTCCTGTTGGTATCTTGTACGTTGATATTACTACTACATTCTGGGAGGGTAGAAAAGTGGTACTAAGTTATTTCAGAAATCTTTTTGCTTAATGTGGTGTGGATTTTTTTTTTCTTTCTTCTAAGTTAATGATACTCTGGATGATATTTTTGATGCTTCTGATGAAGAGGAAGAAAGCCAGGATATTGTTAACCAAGTGCTTGATGAGATAGGAATTGAAATCTCTGGAAAGGTATGTCTATTTTTACCTAGCTCCTGTGCTTCTTCCCCTTCATTCCCTTTTTTGAAATAGTTTATTCTAGCAGCCTTTATTTTACAGTCCTATTCTAGAAGTCGGCTTGTCATGACATGTATTATTTTGACTCCAAGAAAACTTCTGTCTTTTTCTAGATGGCCAAAGCTCCGTCAGCTGCTAGAGGCTTACCATCTGCATCAACATCAAAAGCTGCTACCATATCAGACGAAGAGATTGAACGACAGCTCAAAGCCTTGGGAGTTGATTAGCTTGATCGCAATATACAGTCTGCCTTCTAATTATTCAGCTGCAGATTGATGTAAAAAGTGCAAATACTCTTTCAATGCAACTGATGTCTAAGAAAACTCTGAAGCTTCAGAAATGACAACTTGAAGTTGGTACTGGGGGAGGGAGAAGGGGAGAATATTTTGAATCAATTTACAGGGAGAAGTACACTTGGTGTGTCCATTGCATGGAGTCTTCCTGAGCACTGGACCAACCAGGGATGTAGTTCTAATGATAAATTCATTTATACCTGATCTGAATCTGTCCTCTGAATTCAAAGTTTTCTTCCATCTCAGATCCTTATCTATCTTCAGAATTGGCCATTCTGTGGCTGGTGGTGATGCCTCCTAGGACAGCACCTATATAACATGTATTCATTTTTATAAAAATATTGCTATAGAAAAATTCTTAGTCTGTCATCTTAGCACAAATGAAACTTCACCTTTGCTGTTAGTTGGAAACTACTTTCTTTTGATGAGAAATAGGCTTGAAAGTTTAGCAAATTTAGGCAGAAAGAAAAAGCATTTTCTGTATTTCTTTCAAGTTCCTGTAGTAACTTTTGAGTTGATTAAATAATATCTGGTTATTCTCTTTACTGAAAGGGAAGGATACAGTCCTTGTGCAGTTAATTTTAATGGAAGAGGATTTAAATTTGTTAGTGAACTTTGTTGCATGAAAGGCACTGATTGAACTCTATTGTACTGTAACATAGCTGGTTTCAACAGAATTGCTGTGCCTTTATGTATATAAATCTTGTACCTTTGTGATTTTTTTTTTTTCAGAATGAGTCTTTGAAAGGTGAGTAAACTGTAATTAAGATAGGTTTCGCAGAACACTGTGGCAAGAGCTCCGTGTACGCTTGATGGGACTCAGTGCTGAAGTTGAGAAATGCACTTGCAACTTGCGCACTTGCAAAAAGGACATTTGCCTGAAACGTTTGTATATATTTTACAGTATTTCTTAATGGAAGATAACTGTGCATAATTGTATTGTTTACTAAGATGCAATTGATCATATTGATAAGCTAAATCTAAATTTTAGTTTTGAGAACAATTTTGAATGACACATGATAATTACTTGTCTAAACACTATAATAAAAGTGTTCTGGTTCCATGAAGGTTTTTTTATGGTCTCTGAATTGCATCAGCTTGCTTCTAGCTTTAAGTGGAATGCATTGGGCTAACAAAATAAGAACTGCTGATAGTTTAAATAGACGACAAAGTCTGAGAATGCAGTTCCCAGTTATGACTTCCCAGATGCTATGAAGCTCCTCAGCCCTTGCTCTGCTGGAGATTATTTGCCCCTCAGTTGTGCTGATTTAATGGGGCTGTTCTTTGAACAGAAACAACAAAATCATCATGGCTTTAAAAAGAGAAAAGCAAAATACCTCCCAAGAGTGAGACCAGGATAACTGGGGGGGGACAATCTTCATAAAGAGACTTTGCTGCTAGAGAAAGCACAGCAGGAAACCATAACCTCTATGAATCTACTGTTGTCGCACCATCTGCTTTTTAGGATTGAAGGCAGCAGAGAAAGAAAAAACAGGTGAGCCTTCATCTGGTTTTTGGCATAGAAATGGAGGTGTTCTTTCTCTTTGAAGGTAGTAATGGACAAACTATGAATCTGTGAGGTAGTGGGTAGGAATGTGTAAGTTTATATATTGCATATATCTGATATGAGGTGAATATTCTTTTTTTTACAGGTTATTTTGTAAAAATCTAATAAAAGGCTTTTTATTCCGCAATGACTTTGTCGTCTGTAGGGTTAGTCTTACACATCTGTCTCTTAGTGGGCTTTCTTTGGACTCCTGTTAGCACTGATATATTTTCCTTTGACCTGAGCTATAAAGCAGCGTAATATTTGTTGTAGTTGCTTGTGGGCCTTTGACTTAAACTCAACATTCAGTAAAGACTTCATTAAGTTTGCGTTCCCTTCTGTCTGTAACTGGGTGTCCATGTACTGCTCTTAGGCATTGAGGGAAAAACCATAATATGAAATTAGTTAGGTATAAAATGTTACTGATTGATTGTATTGTAGTTGAACACTAAGGCTTGTGTCCTTTCTGAATGAAGTGTGCACTTTGTCCTTTTAATGAGTGTCAAAATTGAACATAATTCCGAGTTCTTTATCTGTGGGGTCTTTGGTGAACAGTAATAAAGGCACTGCTTTCTGGTGTCAGTAAGACTGCTGAACTAGGGCTATACTGTCAATTATCTATCCAGTCTTTCTGTTAACAGTTATCTTTTAAGTCCTGCAGCTCTAACCCATATAAAAATCTTTCAGTAGCAGAGTGAGAAGTGGTGTAGGTCTGTGGCCTTGCTTATATTTGTTTCAATTATAGTTAGTATGTTATAGCTATCTTATAACAAAATTGCATCCTCTACTTAGAAACAAATTCCTTTTAAATCACTCCTGGCAGACAAAAAAACCCAAACCACTCAATCCTTAAACTCCTTTATCCTTGCTGACACCTTAATAGCAACTGAATCTGAAAGTCTCCATCCCAGAACAACAATGCAATTGTGCATGCACCTAAGCGTAGCTCTGTTGGGACAGGCCGAGCTCTGTCTCATCCAGAATCCTACTCCACAATTGCCCATAAGCAAGGCCCAGGAAAATAGGAGAACAAGATAGACATAGATGATGCTTCCTCCCCTAATACTCTTCCAGCCTCTATTTTCAATTTAGAGCACTTCCAGAGCCATATGTAAGTTCCTCTACATACAACAGCTTTGAGTGTCTGTCTCATCTCTGAACTTGTCTATATAAATAAACTTCTGGCACCCACATTTTTTAGTAGAGGAGTTCCACAGATCTAATCACCACCACGTTAAGAGCCACCGCTTTTGTTTTTTCTTAAGCTTCTTTCCAGCTTCACGTGTTTGCTCCTAGTTCTTACATGAGGCAAGATGGTGAACAGCCCGCCTCCATCCAGCCTTTCAATACAGCTCGTAATTCAGTAGGCCTCTATAGCATTCACTGCACACCCATTAAATCTAGAAGAGATACAGTAGCTTGAACAGTTATTCTCTTACCTTTGATCGTCAGCTTTGCCTGTACGGGAGCCTTTTCTAGGTCTGTTGTATCCTTCAGAAGAGGGGGACAGAAGGCTACACAGTACTTTGGAGACCAGTGAACCGCATATTTACACGTCAGAATGTCTTGTTTTGTCCTCTGTTCTAGTTTTAACATCCTACCTAATGTTACCATGGGAAAAGTAAGAGCAAGAAAAAACCCCACAAACATCTCAAAGAAAAATAGTGCAGCCCATGTTAGTCAAATCGCCAACTAAACTCTTACTTGGAGGTTTGTAAAGCTGCCCCTCAGAAGTCTTATCTAGGGGTTTTTCCCCAATCAAGAGTGATTGATGGCAATTACCCAGTAAGTTGTTCCTACAGAAAAAAAAAAAAAATTGCCACTTTCTCCAAGTCTAATGGCTGCAGCTGCAGCACATTAAATTGATTTCATCCAGCTTTTTTTCTTTAAACAATTCTGCTCTAATTTGTTAGTAATTTCTGTAGCAACAGCTAGATGTGTTTAAATAATGGCTGCTTCCTCCACTTAGCCTTTTGTCATTCTTTTGCAAGAAAATAGCATTATAAGTCACCTTTCATTTTATTTTGCGATGCTTCTGCAATTAGCCTTCACTTGCGAGACTTTTTGTAAGACTAGAAATCACAATGTTCTGGTAAGTCTGCTCTTGAATTAACTATTATAGCATGCTAAAATGAATAAGCACGTCAGCATGATACACAATTGAAAAAGTAAAATGTTACCAAACAGAGCTACAAACCATTACCTGGAATACCAAATGTATAAGAATACTTTATTGAAGGGGTGGGGTGGGGGTGTTGGAAAGTACAGGCTTATAGCATTTCTAGGAAGCCTTTTATAATTAAGAAAATAACTTAGAATATAAATAAATTTTATATATATCAGATAGTTTCAACATACATAACATTAGATCACATAGCATCAAAGGCACACAAATGCATGCCACCACCTTCATCGTGTGCTGATGATCTCAACTGTGTTTATCTCTCATCCTTTTGGACAGGTCATGATCTGTCGATACGCACGTGGTGGATAAAGGCTAAGGCTTGGTCTTCCTCTGCTGTAGTGGGTGAGCTATGCTAGTGATGAGAACAACCTGAAGAGAGTACATAGCCCAATTTCTCCCCTTTGAATTATTAAATTGAAGGTTTCTTCTAAAATAAGGGGTTATAGCAATGCATTCATCCATAAAAATGTATTTTTTTAAATCTAGGAGCCTAGTTTCCATAGCTGAATATTCCTGTGGTCACTGTAATGAGTATCAGAGATAATTTAATGTACTCTAGAGAGAGAGCACTTAACTTGTACACACTGCTTCTAAGCGGTCTTGAACATTAAACTCCTTTTGCTTTCTGTGGGCCTATTATCTAGACATTTTCTAAATCATCAGGTCTGTTTTATGGAAAAATAAAATGTATCTGGCCATTACTAGCATGTACTCAATTAATTTTGGTCCTGGGAATACAGTCAAAAATACATACATGGTAATGGGCTATTCTAATAACAATGAGCAGGGCTGATGAGATGGCTGGATAATCTGTCCCTGGTGAGTACTACAGTCATTAATTCAGTTTCTCGGTGCCTGGCTTTCTGAGAGGTGGAGCTCTTACACTGTTTTTTTTTTCCCCGATTATCTCTCTAGGCTAGAGGATGACAAATAAGGGATTATTTTCAATTAGCGGGGTGTAAGAGAGCAGGAAT